TATATGTGTCAAATCAAATTTACGTTTTACAGTAGGGAAACTACAGAACTAGCCTGCTTATTCAGCACAGAATTTATTTCTAAGAAAAGAAATATATCCATCTCCCTAAAAATGTCGCCATGCTTACTGTTATTATTCAACTGGAGAGTGTTCAGCGGTTTTAGCTGGCCTACACAGAATGTTTTTTTTCTCGTGCCTCCGGACACTATGGATAACCATAGCAAATCAAGAAGGAACAGAAGGGTGAACAGTTCTACTGCATTTAAGCTTTCCTCTATGCTCATCGTTTTGGTATTTGAATACAGCTGCATTAATAACTTGAGCAACCAGCAAACACTTAGACCTTCACGTACCAGGCAGAAATGGATATAGACTTTGTGTGCTTAATTTTAAGAGTTTGTGTAGAATGAATTATATGCTTAGTACTGAGCACATGAGTAACTGTTGCCTTTAAAGTCATGAATCAGGAAAATATTTCTCTGAAAAGGAATCAGAGCTGTGCAATACTGGTACTTTAGTTTGCCTCCTGACTGTAAGTCCTCTCCTACCTACATATAAGAACATCCAGACAGAACTTGGAACAAGTTGGACTGAAGCTGGCAGTCCCCGGAAGCTCAGTATACTACTAAAACCAATTTCTCCTATCCAAGCCATTTATCTATTTGCACACATGCACCAATAATATTTGACATCTCTGGGACAGCAGAGCTACATGTCACTTCTTAAAATATAATAACATCACCATGTTCTGTGCATTGAGGTACTAATATGAATTTATTTTTTGTAAATAGAAGAAAATACAATATCAGATGAAGAGGAATTTGGGAAAAAATTAACTCCAGAAATCAGTGCACAGTTTATTCCACCTTTCAAGGGGGTATTCAGACAGCACTGAAAATGAAAACTAAATACTTCTTTTTAAAGGTGTCTTACCAGGATGTAAGAACTTTAAGTACAGAAGCAAAAACTAAGAATCAGCAGAAATACACACTTTGGGTTTTACCTAAGAAATGCCCTGAGAATAGAATGCACATGGCTCTCTGAAAAAATATCTGAGGTAGGTTAAAATCAGTTAGGGCATCAGGTACTGAGAGCAGCATACTTACGACAGTGGTAGTTGTAGGAGACAAACTTTTTTGTATTCATTGGCGAGATTTCCCCACAAATATTTTCATTGATTTTGAAAAGCAAATACGTAATGTTTCTTGAAAAATCCTGCTGATAGCAAGATCCTGCCCAGCAAAAGACAAGCAGTCAAGCTGGGCTCTGGCGTTTCTCAGGGAAGATTTGTTCCAGCTTAACTTGGGAATGGTTAGGGAGGCAGCCTGCCCAGAGTTATTGAATAATCTATTATAATGTGCAACAGGGTTTATAACTGATGTCTTGAAACGTGATGGTGAGTGACTGGAACCAAAACTCTTATTTTTCTTTGTTTGGTTCTGTGTCCCTGAAAAACTATGTCAATATTAGTAAACGAAGCCGAGCGGGGGAATGTTCCCGGGAACTGGCACTGCTGCCTACATGGTTAAATGGTTACATCAGTGCCTGGAACGATTCTGGCCCTGGACAGCCGTTGTTCTCCCAGGCAGTCCCCGGGCACGGTTTGGGAGGTTGCAGGGGCCAGGGACGTTTTCAGTAGGCTGTTTGCTAGTGGCCACCCGGCTCTGGAGATTAACAGAGTTTAACGGTACGGCCACGTGCTGTGCTGGGCTAGTTCGTCTCAGTGCCAGAGAAGACTCTGAGGGATGTTTAACAGCATAGACGTAGCTTCAGTGTTTCCATCAGTGGACTGTCCAGCATGTTGGGGTCTTTACCTCTTCAGCTAGATATATTAATCTGGATGCCAGAGCTTTTGCCAAAGTGATATAAAACAGACATATAGCTGAGAAAAGCTCATGTTTCAAAATCAGCCTTTCCACATTAAAATGATAAGAATAGTAATAATAATAATAGTAATTCTAGACCAGCTGATTTATCTGAAAAAATTCCCACCTTTCTTGCAGTCTGGAATATATGCCTTCCATAACAGTGAGAATCTTGACAGAGGTTGCTCAGACCTGAAATTACTTTGATAAAGATCAAGTCCTTTAAACTCTCTTTTTATGCTAATTCTTTAAAAATGAAATAAACCAAGATACTCTGAGCTGCCAGAATCTGACCCCACTAGGGCACATTCTGGCCATTTTGTCTAGCAATGACTGTATGCTCGGAGCAAGAAACACAGATAAAGACTATCCCTGCCCAAGAAATCATCATTCTCTAGTTTATGTACAAAGAAAACAAAACTCTTTGGCAAATGTTGAGAATGGTTAAACAGAGATCATAAAAAGCTGTCATGCCTCATAACAGGTGCTTAAATTTTAATAGTTTCTCTAAGAATCAATATTGTAAATTCAAATATTTTTAATTACAGATGCGGGTTGTTAAATGAATAGAGGTGGTACTGAGGTAGGAAAAATCCTATGAGAGAGTGAAAACAAAAAAGCTCACAAAAAATTAGTTTATGTTCCTGAGTGTAGAAGGATTGACAACACTATATCCTCCTAGCTAGAAAGAAAAACTTTGAACAACGTAATATTCTTCAAAGAAATCATTTTGGTATATATTGCGCTGCCTATTAACTGATGACATTAGCAGTGGGACTTTTTGTGAACGAGCCATATCTACTTCTTTGTTCAGTGCCTCCTCCGGTGAACTGGTTTCTCTGTTCCACTGTGTAAGGTGAGAATTCCTGGGACAAGAAGCATATCTCATGGTATCACGTATCCTGCGGACTATGAATTTGATCCGAAAGTAGGAGTTTTACTTCCTTTAGCACTAAACCAGAGGCAAAGTTTCATTTCCAAAGCCACATTCAATGTTAGTAGAGCAAGACCACTTGAGTTGATACCTAGATCCATTTCCCAGCTGATCTATCAGAAGGACTTTGCTGTTTAAAGACTACTTGATGCACAAAATAAGGGAGTAACTGTCAGATAATTTACTTATAATCACATAGACAAGATTTTAAATCTTTTGAGAATCTAGGGCCTTTTTTCTTCTTGTAAACTTTTCCTTCTAAAGCCATTTGTACACAGATGCCTGAATGTTATTTGCAAACAAAATTAAAGCGACTTGTAATTTTCTGGCTGCTAAGACAGCAGAACAACCCATCTCCTGTTCTCTGTGCTGTGCTGCACCTATCATCAGAGCACCTGGGCACCTTGCGTAGTGCCTGACATGGCAACAATGGCAAAGGTACCACTGTAGTTGAGTTCTGCACTCATATTTTCCTCTCTGGCCTTCAGAAAACAAGGCACCTTCTTTGCCCATCTGTTATTTCTCATCATGGAAGCAGAGAGATTCTTGTCTCTGCCGTTCCTTTTCTAACTATCTTTCACCACTCTCCTGTACACCATATTATATTTCAGACATCCAAGTGATCACTGATAGTTTAGACTTATGCCTGCCAATAGCTACGTCACTTTTGGGGTAAGTGCTGGCAACCTCAGCACCATACAAGCAGAGAAGATGACTTTGGCACTTAGCCTGGCCTGCACAGCAGTTATTTCTGTACACATTTCTGTACACCACTTGCAGCAGCAACGTAAGCTCACAGTTGCTGGTATCTGCACATAATCTGCCTGCAGTGACTCTCATTCAGTTCAGCCTCTTTCCATTTTTGTAGCATGAAGTTCACAATTTTCCGGCATTATCTCAACATTGGGAAATATGTTTGCCCATGAAACTTCTCAGTTACTTTCCTGTCTTAATTTAAAATCTTTTAATGTGAGCAGCTGGTAATCCATTTATTTAGGTGTGAAAGCCCAGAGCTTATTTAAATAATAACTGTGTTCACTATAGCTTTCTGCACCTCTTAACATGTCCATACATATTAAGGCCTGTGATTTAACACATAAATTACGGTGTATAAATACGTGAAATTGACTTTTACTCTGAACAAGTCAGAAAGGCAACCTTTGTCTGGTGAAATTATTAGGATGTGGGATTTTCTTCTTTTTATTTGTTCCCAAATTACAGACATATATTTCTCAATAGTAGGAAGATCTGCTTTACAGTAATAAAAGGCTGTGCCTTCAACAAACCACTTAACTATGGATTTTCATGAGTTCTCCAGCTGATGAAATATTTTATCATTTTGGGAAACTGTCTGCAGAGACAGAATCACTGAGATGTATTCACACCCTCGTCTTCATGTTTTGTATGTCCAGGCCAGAATACTTCTCATCAAGCAGTTGAGAGAATCACGAGGTCCAGTGAGGTGAAAGGCAGGAGAAGCAAGCACAGAAAATCTTGTGAAAAAGGTAAGAAAACATCCCAAAGCCTTTTTATTGCAGATGATGATGGGGGGGAGGAGGGTGCCACAGTATCTTTTTAAGACATCACTACTCCTACTTGTTACAAGCGCGTTCATTTTTTCAAAATGGACAAGTTGGCCTTTCAAAAAAAAGAAACCATTATTTCATGCAAACTTTGCCTCTCATATAATCTTAAACCATCACTACTCAAAAGGAAACTGAAGCAGTAGCAGTGAGTCTGAAAGCAAAAAGGCACTACATAAACAAGCAGATCTTTTGAGGGGGCACTGATCTTGCAGCATTATAAACTGCAAAGTTATTTTCTATGATAAAGAATTTATTTAGGCAGATGTAAGAGGATTGGAGGATCATCAGAGAAATGTATCCAGAAGTATGAAGTAGGCAGGAAAAAAAAAATTAACCTTTTGCTCCCTCTATCATGCTACTTTCACACCGTTACTAAGCAAACTTATTCACGTGAACAAAATACAGTAAACATGGGACATTTAACAAGCTGGATATAACACTCATCTGACCACAGGGAACAAAGCAGAAATTAAATCAGAAGACTCTTCTTGAAGAAAAGGGAGACTCCTCAAAAAAAGTACAAAAGACCCAAAAGCCAGAGCAGAGGAGAGTTAAAGGAGAGTTGTAATCCTGCCACCAGACACAATGATGACCCGAGGGTTATTTTCTACTCACTATTGGCCAGTATTCCATAACCGGGGTTCCACGCTGTTCAGCTGTTTCAGCTTGTTCTGTTTTGCCTTTTCCCCTTTGAGATCAGCTTAGTGTTCGGAGTTTAGCAGAAACCTAGAAGTTTTGAAAATCATTTCTTTACCCAACAAAATTGAAATGAACTTTGAAGGTTAAACCACTTTTTTCTCCAGAGGACAAAAGTATTCCTCTCCTCTTAGGCTGCCGCGTAACGGTGCTGCACCCGGCAGAGCAGCCGCCAGAACTGGCTCTGGGGCTCGGGCAGGTTGCGTCATCTTTGTATATGCTGCACATACCTCACACGGGTAACACATGGACGCTTGAATGTACTTGAGATCCCCGATCAAAGTTGTTTTGAAGGATAAGTCATTTAACTACTGTAAAGCACTCTGTTCTGTCATCCTTATTTAACAGAACGAGGAGAACTGCCATATTACATGTAGAATTATTCCCGAAGAATTATGCAACAAGCATGTTAACTTTGCTTCAGTGAGCGCTCTCTGTATTAGAAGACAGGAGATGCCAAAAGTCAGGTTGCCCGTGAAACTGTAAATTGTCCTCTTTGTGGTGAGAATAGAGTCTTTGCCTACCTCAGGACATGCTTCCCTTCCCAACCACTTCCACATTCAGTGCACAGCTCTTTATTTGTAGGCTAGGTAACGGAGCTCCCTGTCTCCCAAGGTTGTGTGAAGATAAATACACTGGAAAGTTCGCCAGATGCTCAAGGACTAGTGAATGACTCTGGTGCCAGGAGGCGGCACGGAGGCTCTTGAGCACATGCAGAGAGCCTGCGTCCTTCCAACATCCTACCTTGGAGACAATTCTGAGCGTGTGAGAGCTGCTCTGGAGTCCTCCCTTATAGGCCAAATTTGGGCAGACTTGCACAGGAATCAATAAAACATTCCTTTCAGAAAGGCCATGCACTCTGCTGAATTTTACATCCTTGCTCTCAAGTGTGAGAATGGCGGAGTATACTAAAGAAAAGGTCTGAGTTCTTCTTTTAACATGGAAGAAATGATTATTTTCATGCTAGCTGTGTTCTCAGTGTTACTGAATCACCTGAGCTGAAATATTCCAAAAATACCCAGGCTGAGGAAAACAGCTGGCCTGAAAAAGTTCAGCTCAAATGTTCAAAGTTGCACAAATACCCTGAAAACAAGGGTACCACAGTGGGAACTGCTGGGCACCTCTCCTAACTGGCAGTGCTACCAACCTACTAGATAGTTAGGACTTTATGTGTTCTGTTTATCACAGGCTATGTTGTCAGCTACCCTCCAATGCGAGCAGAAAGACAAAGAGAGAAGGAGGGAAGCTAAGAAGAGGCAGAGCTGTTAGCTGAACTCAGACCCAAGTCCAGAAAAAGCCAGTGGCCGGTCTGGGCACAGGGAGACACAGAAGGACAATTTGTTGTATGTGCCATGTCCTTTCAAAGTTATATTAAACACATGCACATCATACTGACACCGAAAGCTTTCACAACGTGAATAGTCTTTACCTCTCCCAAGGTCATGTGCCTGAAACCTACCCAGCTAGTCAGATTGGTGCTTAAATACGAGGGGAGCCATACAGGCTGCTGCGATAAAATTATCACAGTCGTATTTCAGGAGATGAAAAAGAAATCTGAGATGTGAGCTCATATCAAATCCAGGAAAGAGGACACACGGACAAGTAACATGCAGTCCTATTTGTGGGCTGAAAGGAAAACTGAAAAGGTTTCACGCAAACCGACCTTTAGAGAAAGAGGAGCAAAACAATACCTTCTTCCTAGGCAGCAAACGAGCACTTACGGAGCCATGCAATCATGGCACGGTCAGTACTGAATCTCCACTCTATTTGTGACACTAAAAGGAACTCTAGGCAGGGACATCTCCTTTCTTTCTGCAATTGGATTTAAAACGTTTCTGTAACAACACATACAGAACACAAAAGATCTCAGCTGGAAGCCAAATTCTGGATATACAGTTTGGACCTCTCGGAGTTATACAAAGTGCAAACTAGTAGAGATTTAACAGTTTGGCAGTTTATGTTCTGCTAACTTTGTCATGTTTAATTTTAAACAAATGGCTTTAAATGTATTGTAAACTGTGTTTGTGTATATGTGAGCTGTAAAAAAATTCAGGTTCTAGAATTTTTAAGTGTCCATTCAGTAATAAATACTGGTTATTGCAAAAATTTTACTATCTTTAGCTCAGGCATGAAAGAACAGATTTAGAATTGCAATAATGTATTTAATTTCCGGGTGTTTTTCTTTGCATGCTGTAAGTTAAGCTTATGAAGTTCTCTCATCAGGGTCAAGAGAACTCCTGGAACACCAGAAATTCTTTACTTCACAATGCATTACGGACAGATAGAGCTGTCATTTGGAAGACAATAATACGAATGTCTTACTCAATAACCATACTGGTAGAGGATGTTGCTTTTAAATTTGTAAGCGGGTTTTTGCACCTCTTATCTTTAGTAGTATGTGATCCTATCTTTGGACTGCCTGTTACACTAATAGGAAGTGACAGTTCTTTAAGAAGGGTTCAAATTTTATTTGACCTTCCATTCTGCCCTGGACAGGTGAATGAATAGGACTGTCAATTTTGTAATAACTAGTTGAATTTTACTTTTAATAAGATTTTCACTGGAGATTATTTTCCAAGCAATTTTACCCATCAATTTTCTGTAAGGTCAGCAGAACCACTGTTGTTCTGGATCATAAATTGCATATGACAGCATAAAACAAGGATAAATTACATGTACAATATATGATAAATAAGATATAAAAGGTAAAGAGATTATTTTTAACAACCAGTTGAGTTTCAAGCATCAGGGACGGGCATGGAAAGAAAAACTGGAGAAACTTGGCAAAAAGAATTACACTTTAATAATGTGATTTTCAGGTATGCTTTCTGTGAACTTCATTCAGAGTTACAGCTGCTCAGGACATCTGAAAATCAGATGCAAACAGTAATATCGCATTTAAAGCTTTGGAAAGCAATGCACTCTCCACTGCTACAGCATTTCTAAAGCATGAAATGAGGTTGTTTTATGAATGAAAAATGAATTAATTTACGAATGAATGGTTGTGTCCTTTTCCCAAAAGCCCTCTGGAGAGTAGCAGGATGTCAGAGTGGTGGAGGTTTC